CAATCTTTTTAACTTTGCTAAATATGATGTAGGTTTTAAGTTCAATTAAGAGAGCCTAGATAAAATCAAACATAATTCTCTGATAATTTTAGATGATACAAAATAGATTCAATCGATTAAATCAATTAAAAGAAACACTTACATAGGAAATTTGCATCAAAATAATCGATTAATTTGCGTATTAATCGATTAAAACCTGTATGTCATGTGTTTGTATCAACTAAAATTAGTTTACATCAATTAAATCAACTAGATAAGATACTATTCTGTTTTTGATGGATCTATTGGTTAAAACTTAATCAATCTAGTTGATATTATCTTAAATCATTTTCCTAAATGATCATTTTTACAAAATCCGAACTGAATTAGGCATTTTAGATGCATCAAACATTACTTAGTTTTTCAAAACTGGTTGTTTTAATCGATAAAAACAAGCTTCAAATCGATTAAAAGCACTTATACAACATTTTTCTCACTGTTTTAATCGATTAAATGTCGATTTAATCGATTAAATCAACTTTTGTTTCAAACTTTTGAAATTCATCACTGTTTTAATCGATTAAAACATTATTTTAATCGATTAAAACTAGTAACAAGATCATTTTAATTGATTTCGTCCTATTTTTAATCGATTATTACTCTGGAAAGAAAAATTAAAGGCTTTAGTTAATGGTTGTTCTTGTAACATGCTACTAAAGCATGATTCCCTTATCTTTACACGTGTTAATTGTATTTATTACAAACGTGTTAATGAAGATAAGTTTGAATCAACTTTGATTGGTCTTTACATGAGTAAGGTATCTTGTTCAAATCTTTTACTGTTTTTCAAAAACTGATACATATCATGCTTAGTTTTGTTCCTCTGTTCCCTATTTTTTGATGAATTCAAAAGGGGGAGAAATAATATTGATTTTATTTATTTAGGGGGAGTAGCAATATAGCGGGAGAAATGGGAAAATGATTAATTTTTGAATACTCACTAATCTATATATTCAAGTGACTTCTTCTGCAGAGTTATTAGTCAAAGAGGTGTTTGTCTTCATCAAATAGGGGGAGACTGAAAGTGATGAAGATCTTATTGAATTACTTTGGCAAAGATCTTGTTGATTTGATGAAGTCAAAAATGAAGTCAAAGGCTACTTTGTGGCAATCAAAGGTCACTTAGATAAAAGGGTAGTGAGATTAGTGAGTCTGCATCTCTGCTTAGGTATAATCATTTTTATCTCTCTGCTGCATGAGGTTTCTTCATTTAAAAGATTTTGCAAATGCCTCTAAAAAATGTTTAAACGGTTAAAAACAAAGTATTTTGATAAAAAGTTTTTTAATTAGCTATTTTAACTAATAGCATATAAGCTTTATCAACTAAAATGTTCATAACACTTTTGTAATAGGTTTTTAACCGATATGTTTTCGAAATAATCGATTGTTTTCATTAGAAGGATTTTTGAAAACCTTACGCCGATATTTTAACCGATATAGAATTGATATAATCGATTAAAATGACTTAGAATATTTTGAAAAGTGTTCGCGGAATTTTAATCGATACAAACTCAAAATAATCGATTGAAATAACTTGAAGTGTTTTGAAAGTTGTTTTGTCGAGTATTTTAATCGATACAAATGCAAAATAATCGATTAAAACAACTAAGAGGTTTTTCCAGAATGTTTTAATCGATTAATACAAGTTTGCTATCAGTTAAAATAACTTAGAAAGTTTTATGAAATCTTTTGGCATAATTATAATCGATTAAAATGCATTTCAACCGATTAAAATAACTAAGTGAACTTTTTTCAAAGTGTTTTAATCGATTAAAACATATTGTTATCGATTAAAATCACTTAGAAAAGTTTATAAGAATGTTTTGCGAGTATTTTAATCGATTGAAAGACGAAACAATCAATTAAAACAGTTTGGAAGATTTTTTACAAAGAGTTTTAATTGATATAAACGATGTCGTATCGGTTAAAACAAATCTGGAAAATAATCAAGAACTTTTAACAGATTAAAAGAAGTTTTAACGAGATAAAAACAAGACTTTTAACAGATTAAAAGATTATTTTAACAAATTAAATAAACCAGCGATTTTGAAAATCTTCTATATAAATAGAGTTGCTTGAACTTTTTAAAACATATCTTTTAGCAATCAATCAAGCAATCATAAGTGTTACTTTCAAGAGAGAATCACGCTAGTTTTTTTAAGTTCATAGAAGTTCTTTCTTGAGGCAAAATTTACATTCTTTTGGAGAAGAAACTCATACTGCAGAGCTACATAAACCTGGTTTGAGCGTTCTAGTTTCTTCTATTTGTTTCTTTACTTTCTTTACTGTATTGTGGGTGCCTGGAATTGTGGGCACTGGTTTCTGTAGCTGGAATTTGGCTGCAGGGTTGGTCAAGAACTGGAATTTGGTTCTTGGTGAAGGTTTATGTGCATGGACTAAAATTTTGGTTCTTGTGGTAGATTGAGTGTGAGATTAAAGTTGTAATCTGTAAAACATTCAATCTAGTGGAACCCAGCTGGAATTTGGCTGGAAACTGGACGTAGCCCTGAGATTGGGTGAACCAGTATAAATCTTGGTTATATCTGTCTAAACCTTTCTCTCCTTTAATTCTGTGACTGCATTTATTTTGATTGTTTGTTGTGTGTGATTCAAGAACTGGTCAGATTTCTTAATCTTTGAAATAGATAATATGTAAATTGCGAAAATCTTTCAAATATCAATTCACCCCCCCTCTTGATCTCAGCCTACATTTCTAACAATAACAACATCAAAGCATAGATTAATATCTCAAAATATCACAATGATACAAAAGAGTTCAAAGGAAGTGCACCGAATCCTAAGAGAGTGAAGTTAGTCACTCATGTTGGCCATTACAATGCTCTAATTGATGAAGAAGTGAAGAATTGATGAAGATTAGACAAAACCCTAACAATAGTCGTGCCTCCTCTCCTCCAAGACTGTTTGCTTTTCTCAAAACACAACTTATCTTTTTATAAGAGAATTTGGGTCGGGTCTCGCATCATTCATTCGCTTAAGCGCTCTTCTTTCTTTCAATTTTACTCCAATTATGCTGACAATTATGATCCTTACTTTTGTATCAAGGTATTCTCAAATTCATCCTATATTGGGAGAAAAATATATTAGAATTAACATAAGTTAAGTGGTTTCATAACAATTCAATGCATAATTATATCAACTTTTTACCACTTAACAGTAATAAAAATAAGAACAGACACACATGGGTAATGAAGACAACAAATTGTAGAAGTCTGTAGAATGTTAATCTCCAAGAACAAGTGTGATTAACAATGAAAGCACAGAAGACAGTAGAGAAGAGGATTTTCTCAAAATGTGTAAAATATCTCTGTTGCCTTTCTCAGAATTCTTTTCTCAAAACTGATTAAATATAATTTGTATTTTCAAATTTTGTAATTGTGTGTCTTTGATTTTTCATCAAAAATTAATTAAATAGAAAAATAGCATCGAGAAAATGATCGTTGGACATTAATAATATCATAAAAAAACCAGGATATATTCAAAAACATTTATTCTTTAAAACGAATATATTTTTCAAATTTGAATTGTCATAATTGATTATATTACCAGTATAATTAATTATGATAGAGAAAATCATTTTTCCATTTCTGGTGTATCATAATTAATTATGACAATGAAAAATATCATGCTATGAATTTTATCACACTTGTGCTTTGGAGGCTTATGCATAATATTACTTCATCAACGTGTACCTCCATATTCAGTATTCTAAGACTCTATCTAGTCTTCAGGAATCATCTTGGGCTTGCTTGAATCATCATCTTTATCAAAAACATATATTGGGCATGTAGGGAAATGTTTCACATTGTCACCTACGTCATAAATCCAGCTTGTCCTTAAATTCATCTTGAATGGTGTTGACTTGAATGTAGTTTACTTGAATCATCATCAAAATCATCTCTTGGGAATGCAGGAACATTTTCATCAATCTCCCCTCATTGCTTTCAATTATATGGACTAAAAAAATCGCCACGAGCATAGTTTGGTAGATTCACCAAGTCGATGCTTGCTTTTGGATATCAACAAAGCAACGAAGATCATACCTTGTTTCTAAAGAAAAAGGAAGGAGATATTACAATTCTTATTGTTTATGTTGATGACATGATAGTTACGGGAAACGATCTAAAGGAACGCAAGACATCGAAAGAGTCCTTGGCAAAGGAATTCGAGATGAAGGATCTTGATCCTTTGAAATGTTTTCTTGGAATTGAGCTCTCAAGATCAAAGTCAGGTATTTTTCTCTCACAACGAAAGTATGCATTGGATTTACTACAAGAAACTGGAATGACAACATGCAAACCAGCAAATTCTCCAATTGATGAGGGATTGAAGTTGTGCATTGAAGAATATCAAACCCCAACTAACAAGGGAAGATATCAGAAACTTGTAAGGAGATTGATGTACCTCTCACATACTAGGTCAGATTTAGTTTATGCTCTTAGTGTGGTTAGCTAGTTCATGCACAATCCAAGTGAAAAACACATGTATGCTGTTATACGAATTTTAAGGTACATAAAAGTTGCTCATGGAAAAGGAATTATGTTCAAGAAGATCTCCAACTACAAGGATGTGATGATTTATACTGATGCAGATTGAGCAGGTGCTCTTGATGATAGAAGATCAACCTCTGGATACTTTACATTTGTAGGAGGTAATATTGTCACATGGAAAAGCAAGAAATAGAAAGTTGTAGCTAAATCTAGTACAGAAGCTGAACTTAGAGAAATGGTTCTTGAACTTTGTGAAGATTTGTAGCTCAAACTATTTCTCCAAAATTTAAGATATACACATACATGTCTCATTCAGTTGTATTGTGATAATAAATTTGTGCTCAATATTACTCATAACCATGTTCAACATGATCGAATGAAGTATTAGGAGATTGATAAATTTTTGATAAAGAAAAAATTTGATAAAAATATTCTGATTGTGCCTATATAAAGAGGGGATTTCTGATCCTCCGACCAGGAGGAATTATTTTCGGACACGATTATTTCTTTGAAGAGGACAATAGAGGAGTCCAGAGAGCCGTTGATTTGTTTGCCAAAGTTCACAATCTGAAGGTAAATGTGGATGGTGAACACTGGGTTGTTTATTCTTCTTAATGTTTAAAAGATCTTGTACGTGGAGCAACTAATTTCATCTCGTGAACAACTCAGATAAATAAATAAAAAATGTTTCTATAAATTATAATTATAATTATAATTATAAAAAATAGTCCTTTATCATTAAGGGAAAATTCAAAATCAAATTATTATTTGTTTGGTTAATAATTCGTTAAGAAATGGGGAATCATGTTCTGCTTATGATTGAATATTATGTTGATATAATATTGTTAATATTTACTATTATATTTTCTTATTTATTTTAAAATTTTAGTTTATTATAATTTTATTTTAAAAAATATATTTATCATATATTTTTTGTCTATTTTAAATTTATTATAATTTTATTTTAAAAAGTATATTTATGGTTAAAAAATCAAGATATATAAATTATTATTGTTTTCAATCCTTAACTCTATGAGGGAATCAAAATATTATTATTATAATCAAAATATTATTATTATAATATACTAAATCGATTAAACATCATGCAAAATATAATTTTTTAGATTGTTCTTATACAAATTATAATTTTATTATTTATATTGATTTATTAGTCGATCAAGAGGATAATAAAAATCTTTTTGTTTACAATCGAATATTATTTACTATAACTCTTTGTTTTTTCCTTTCTTTAAATACAGATTTTGGAAATATTGTTTTAAGTTGAACAATAATATTACTTAAGAAAAACATAGTGTGTTTTTTTTTAATCAGAAAAGTATATTCAATTCTTTAATGTATTTGTCCATTACGAATATTAAAAAAAAACAATGTATTTTAATAAACTAATTTTATAAGTTTCTTAAATTAATAATTTTAAAAATTATTTACTTTAAACAAAAATACTTTTAAGTCTATATACATTAATAGAAGAATATTAATAGTGTTCTTTTTTACAGTTGTCGTTGTTTGAATTTTTTATTATGTTATGAATGAGATACATTAATAGAAGAATATTGTAAGTATTATTAAATAAGTTGAAGTAAGGTTTTTAAAATTAAGTGGTCACATAATAATCTTGATATGGGATGAAAATTTGTGTGTATTCAAATTTAAGTGGCATTATAAGAGTCAAATTTAAGAACAACAACTTCTTTATTTAAATAATAATGGATTTTGTGTTATCGATGATATTGTAACATACGAGAGTTGTTTACAAACATTGTCCGTGTTATTTATGAAAAAATTTGTTTATTCATCACATGTGATTTTGAGTATTTATATTAAAAAGAGTTTATTATACAAGTAATTATTGATGAGACATTTAACAAATGTATTAACTACAAAAGAAGAAATGCAAAATGTTGAAGAGAGGTGGAATATCTGCAAGATAATATATTTGTTAAAGGATATTTTTTCAGAAAATTTGTTTTGCATGCTTTAAAATTTAATATTTTGTTTATATAAATAATGTTTAGATAATTTATAGTCATATATTTGTTTAAGTCATTTAGTAATGACTGTTTTTATTTTATTTATATAATATTATGTCTATAAAAAGAAAGTATTGATTGCATATTTGTTATAATAATATTTTTAAAATTAATTATTATATTTAAGGTATTATTTATTTTGAAATTTTATTCTAATTTTTTTTAAATATCTCAACCTATCTATTCATCTTTTAAATATAAAATCGATTAAAATTTAAAAATATATATAAAACATGAAAATTAACCTTAATTATATTCAAGATTGGGATATTCTCAAAAAACACATGTGTTAGTTAAATTAATACGAGATATTTGTAAAAAAAATATATATATATAGTGTAAACAACGGGTAAGTTATTTATAATTTCTGATATTTTTATCGTATTTTGACGTAATATTTGCTTAAAACACGCGTTTTAATCGGGGATACCGAACATTAGTAAATTTGATTGGCAGGAGTCATAATATTTTTCAAAATATTAATAGAACAATACTTTTATAAAAAAAAGTATATAATTATCTTTAAAAAAAATGGTTAAAAATAAAATAAACAAGTAAACCAAAAAACACCATTTTGTACGTTCAATATAAAAAAAAAAAAAAAAAAGAAGAGAAAGTCAACTGTGCCACGTGTGTATTAAGAAATTATTTCTTATCAACGACGTTTTCTTGTTTATTCAATCATTTTTGTTTTTGTAAATGACAAATTTAGTTTTCTAATATATGAAATCTTGTTAATTTAGTTTATAAAAATGAAAAAAATATATTGAATATGTAAAAAGGCTCTTCATTATATTATGTTAAGTTCAGTGAAGTCATTTTGTTATTAAAATTTTATTTTAAAAACAAATTTAACATTGACTTATAATATTTAATAATCAAATTTTATTTTAAAAGATTAACTATATTTTTTTGTTGTTGAAAATATTAAATTGATAATCTCGTGACCAAACGAATTATTTAACCTTTTTTTTAACAATATCACATAAACTGGACAGAATATATCTTCTAAATTTTTTAAAATTAAATAATTTTTGTCCACTATCAATATGTCATTCAATTACCAATATAAAGATAATTGATAATAAATATTATTGTTAAATTTTGTTATTAATATTTTACGTGGATATCATTGGAGACGTATTAACTTTAATAACCCAATTAAAATTAATAATTTTGTTAAGATATTGAAGGATAACTATATCTGTTAAATTGAAAACAAAAATAAAGTATTAAATGATTATAAAAAAACAAGAATATATATTTAAAAAGGAATCTGAACCATGTATTTATTTATTGTTGTTCCTTTCAACTGATATTAATAAAGGATGTTGTTGTTTCAGGGCATAAAATTGTATTTTCAGACTGGTGTTTAGTAATTGTAAAAAATTATCAAATTTGTTTATTTAAAATATTTAAAATGAAAAAAATGAAAAAGATAATTATGATAAAAAAACAACTCCATCTAATATATAAAATGTAATCATTCAGCTTTCATATCAAAACAGTGAGCAACACAAAATTAAGTAACTTTATAATACGTTTAGATTTTGAATCTTGAATCCACGTACGTTTTGGACGTAAAAGTTGAAAACTACTCACAATAGAGACATAATTATAGATCTGCAGTTAACTTACTCTAATATTAAACCAAACATAAACATAATATCTTATAATCAAACTTTTTTAATGATTTTTTCAACATCAAATGTTCTCCAGTTCTTTCTTCTCTTTATCAGTTGAACTAAGAATCTTAACAATATTTTAATTTTTAAATCACTGCAAACCGAACCTGCATACTTCAAATCCATCTTGTTTATTTAACAACATTGATTTTTAAATTAAATTTTTATCTCGTTTAATTTTATAATTAAGTTAAGTGGATTAATGGTGTAATCAAGTTTCTATTAGTCATATTAAAGCTGGTCCAATTTGTTGTCTAAGCGACCAAGTCCATATGTAAAATAATTTTTGGGCCTGGGCCTTCTGAATCAGATAAATGACTGAAGAAGTGGAAGCCTCTATGGAAATATAAACGTAAAACGAAGAATCCTCTTCTGCTCTTTTAGACCAAAGGGAAGTTATTTACATGTGTTATTTGACTATTAACATGTGTTATTTACATGCGAGTTATTTTCCGACAACTATCTGATAGTTCACTTATAATTCATTTAGGATTTTACGTAACTAAAATAAAAATATTCAATGAATAAAATCATTTAAGTAATTTGCATGCTACTTAGGTTATATAAATTAGTTAAAATACAATTGAATCTTAAAAAAAAAAACATTATCTTAAAGTTGACAAGTAATTTATTATTATTTACTTGTACTTCTATATTTTAAATTAATTTTAAACTTTTAATTATTTTTTATAAAAATATTATTTTCTATAAAAAAAACAATAAAGGAATTTGTCATTTATCCAAATACATATAATATGAAAGGAAGGGCTGACTGAGAAATTTAATTTAAATATTGAGGACAAAATTTCTAATTGTGATTTTAAAAATTAATAACATACGAAAAATAAATAAAATATTCCCGCTTTATTAAACATATATTAATAAATATGTAAAAAAAAAAAAAAAACTGTCGTTCATACACAGTGTTGAGTCTCACCAGAAATATATTTGTCTGTTTTGAACATCAACTGTATAAATAAAATATTCCCGCTTTATTAAACATATATTAATAAATATAAAAAAAAAAAAACTGTCGTTCATACACAGTGTTGAGTCTCACCAGAAATATATTTGTCTGTTGTGAACATCAACTGTGTTCATGTCCATACTCACCTGTATCAATCTCATCCACACATACCAAGATTTTATCTATAAACTGTGTGTTCTTTCATTTTTCTTCAATCATGTTAGAGTGTGGAACATGGTGTAGACAACAATATTTGCCAACACTGACCTTTTGTTTGGGTGGAAGGAAGAAGGGGACAAACTTAATTTTTTTTGTTTAGTTTTAAAAAAATATATTATTTTACTATTTTTTATTTATTTCTATTATCTTTTTATATTTCTAGTTTGTTATCAATTTAATTAAATTATACTGCTTTTAAAGAATATATATATATATATATATATATATATTTTTTTGCTATAATAAAACAATTAAATATTAAAAAAAATTGTCTATTTTATTTTCTTAAATTCATTTCTCCTATATTCTCGTCTTTATTTCTTTTTTTCAGAACCAAACAAAACGTATAACAACTAGACAAATTGACTAATATCTCTGTCTGGTTTTATGTTCTATGAATTCAATATCAATCCGAAAAACTAGCTAGATATGAAATAAGACTAAATTAATCCAACTTGTTAAGCATAAATTACCAATCAGAACATTATATATATATATATATATATATATATATATATATCATGATAAATCATATATTTAAATATAATTTATATAGTAGTTAAAAAAATTATTATATTTATATTTTTTTATAATTGTATATTTTATTTAATTATATATATATATCATGATAAATCATATATTTAAATATAATTTATATAGTAGTTAAAAAAATTATTATATTTATATTTTTTTATAATTGTATATTTTATTTAATTATATATATATATATATATATATATATATATATATATATATATATATATATATATAGTGACTGGTATTCTTGAAAATTGAAGGTGTTGACCTTTTAATGTTTTATAATTTGTATATAATTTATAATTTTAATTTTCTAAATTTTAATATATTTATTTATATAATTATAATTTTATTTTTTAAATTTTATTTAATTTTATAATTTTTATATAATTTATGATTTTGTCTACTAAATTTAATAATTATTTTATATATTTATAATTTTATTTTTTTATCTTTTATTTTTTAATAATATATTATTTAACTTGAAAATAAATAATTAAGATCCGTCAATAAAAAAATTTAAATGATGTAATTATAAATAGTCAAGATTCAAAATTACGTATCACTCAAAAGGATTATCATATATATATAAAATATTATAACTAAATATATTCTTTGTAAGTGAGTTTCCATCTATGAGTGTGTGCTCTGTATCTTTTTCTTGATTTGATTTGTAAAAATACCATGAATGTGAATATTATAATAGGAGTTTGGTAACTATCTAATCATATCAGCAACTATTATTGCATCAAATAAACCTTGTACGATTAAAAAAGAAACTCAACTTTTAAATTTTTATCATATGAATAATGAAAAATATTATTTATCTTCACTATTTTATTTTTTAAAAATATTAAAATATGATAGAATATAAAAGTTTTCATTAAAAATAATAGTTTTATTTGTGTGGGAAGACTTTGATTGGGATTATAGGAAGATAATGAGACAGTGATAAAGTAATTATGGTGATTAACAAATAGTTGCACTCACCATCGTTTTCATTAAACGTCGTCGTCCCATAAATTTGTGCACAAGTTGCAGATTCCTTACGCAACCGTGAACTGTGTTGTATCTCTTTTGTCAAAGCAAATATTAGTCCACTTTCACTTTAAAGAGAATGCGAAAAACATGTTATTGAAGTTTTCTGACTTTTTGCTCAAGTTATTTTGGTATCGTTATCATTGTGCTATCAATCTTAATACAGTTATATATATTCACGTGCCTTATGCACCTAGTTGTTTAAAACGTAAAATGTGTATGTGTTCAAAGCATCTCCCTCGTGAATCGACGAAAATTCCTTCAAGATTTAAATAAATCACACATCATATCATAATATTAAATTTCTCCTTAATATAAGTTATAATAAAAAATTGTATTATTTTTATATAATATCATAATTAATTTTAATATTGTTTAGATTATGGAAAAATCCAATAAAAACATTCTCGTGAAAATTTGATTTTACATTAATTAAAATATATTAATAAAAATATGATAACATTATAATATACAAATACAAATAAACTTTCACATTTCTTAGGATTTAATTAAACTAAATTTGACGAATTTATCGTTGAGAAATGAGGCTTCATGTGTTTGATAAAGTAAAAAGGAAATTAAGAAGTGAAAAAATTGTTGTAATATGAAAAGATTTAGGATCATTGAACCCGACCAGGAAAAAATAAAATAAAAAAGTCTCGAGTCTTTGTACAACTCTTCTTGAAAAATCATAGTTACAATTCAAAGTTAAAATGAGTGAAAGTGAATTGAGGGTTAAAAGTGACATGGCCTTGAAATCTTTCATCAACTTTAGGTTTCTTGTGGAATTTTGATCGATTTCGATTTCTAGAGAATTTTGTTCTAACCAAATTCCAACTACGTAGATTCTTTTTACTTAAGCTAGCAAATAGTTTTCAATCGAAATATGTATGAGAATCGAAAACCCTATAGTACCACAAATTTTAATGTAACCTAATGACAATCAAAAGCGCTATTTTTGGTATTTTATATTTAAAGCACTCGAAGTAAAGAAAACAGTAAATGTCAAATCGAAAAGCAGTACAGAATATAAAGCTGCAAAGAAATGTAAATATACGGAAACCTCAAATTTGCATTAAGTGTAAACGACAAAGAATCGAAATTACGGAAATGTAAATAACAGGAAATTGAAATTGCAGAAATGTAAATAACAGGAAATCGAGATTGCATAAATGTAAATAGCAGGAAATCGAGATTGCATAAAGTGTAAATAGCGAAAAACTTAGATGCATAATCTTAAAAAGTCAGATAACAAGGAATCGAAAGTACATGAACTTAAAGTTGTTTGAACGTAAACTGCATCAAAGTAAATTACATGAACATAAATTACCAGGGAAAGTAAAAAAAGCGGTACAGATAATCAATGAAAATGGAAATCCAGATCGTCAGAAACTTCATGATTGCGTCGTTCTCCGGTAGACTTCTCACTAGTATTTCTGTTCTCTCTGTCAATTCCCTTTCTCTTTTCAGTCTTCGCTCTATTTATAGAGCATCTTTCAAGTAACCTCCCAAGAGTGGTTAATACCACTATCACCACGATCCTACGTGTCCGTTCCTTTAGTTTTACAGTTTTAAAAACTGCACTCCACGTTCTTACGTATAAGAGAACTGCTCCTCCTTCGATCTCTGTTGCGGTTTAGAAACTGTTTCCCACGTTCCCTGTGTGTGTTAACCGCTCCCTTGATCTCGATTTCAGACATCGAGTATTTTAAATTTTGCTTTTGATTCCCTTTAATTTTGTACTATTCTAACTTCAACAATAGGCATCGAAATTTGTTTCTTCGATTCTCGATTTTGATTCTCGATGTACTTTTATCTTTGTGGTTACCAGCTTTTACCAATTTCATCGAAAATACGTTCTCGATGTCTTTTACCAATCGTATGGTCTTTGATTTTTTCTTTCCTTCATTTTTCGATCCCTTTATCGATTTCCCATTAACAGAATGCCCCCTTGGAAGAATATAAAATTTGTATTTATATTCTTTCAACATGATTCCCACCTTTTGGAGGCCCATCAAAACTTAGGGTTTAGGGTTGCTGGGGTTTTAGGGTTTTTTCCACTTTATGTCACCTATCATGTCAGTTCTGCCGCCTCACTGCACACGCCACATTAATTACCCTTCACCTCCGTCACTTCCAGTACCCTAGTGGGTTCCCTTCAAACGTTTGTTAGCCTTTTACTCTTGTTTTTACACGAACTTTTACCCCTCCTTTGCACCTTCATCTTCTACCTTGCACCTTCGTCTTCTACCTTGCACCTTCATCCTCGAACCCTCTATTTTCCTCTGCTCTACCGGCTAGTGAAATGGCAACCTCATCCAAATCCTCTGACTTTTCCGCCCCACCACTTCCCTTGTTGGCTTCTAACCTGCTAGAGATTAATAACCAGAAATTTGCTCCAGTTCCTTTGTTGGAGGAAGCTTCTCAGAATGTTGCTGAGACGCAGGTACTGATTCCTTACACTGCTGGTGATGTAAATTATGCTTTTGGGGGTCATATCCGTTGTTGTAGCGGATCTTTTTCTTCCCTCAATTTTTCTTCAACGAGTCAGGCTCCCATTCATCGATCTGAAGTTCGAATTGATTTTTTAAACATTGTACCTAAAGTGTACCGAACATGCCCTCCCTGCAAAAAACCCTTGTATATTAGGTGGTTTGATCGAGTGAAAACCAAGTTTGGGAATCATTGGAGAACTATAGGGATCTTTGATTTCCTGCATTTGTCTCGATGCGATTTATCTTATTTAGACATGGCTATGTTCCTATCAGTTGTTCATCTGTGGAATAAAGACTTGCATGCTTTGGAATTACCCTGTGGTCCACTTTCACCCACCCTCTTTGAAATTGTTGCTATTACTGGACTAAAACTCATAGGAGAAAAATATTTTAAGGGTGGTTTTCCTTCGGATACTTCTTTAAGGTCCAAGATCGATTGGGAATCGAAGGCGTATGGACGTTTTATTGAAAAGCACTTTGTCAACGACCAATCGATAGCTGTAACTGATGAGGATCATGTAGCTTTTCTGGTGTATTGGTTATGTACCCATGTCTTTTGCCCCCGATCCATCCAAATTTCATCCCACCTCTACAACCTTGCCTATCTTCTCCACACTGGCCAACCACAAATTAATTTAGCAAAGTTATTATTGGCTCATGTTTATACTGTCTTTGATGAGGCCGTCGATATTTTGAACACCCCTAGGGCCTCGGGGAATTTTTCAGGTCCCCTTTGGTTTATCCAATTATGGCTAAACTTGATTTTTGAAAGTATCCTCCCCCCAACTTCCCAGATATCTCCAAGTTTAAATTTAGAGGGTACTCGATTATCTTCTCGTCATCCCCGCCATAAATCCGACGAGACCACCTATCGTAATTACCTTAGATTTTTGTTAACTCAATTTCATTTTGGTCCGCATTTGGCTCCTTTTACTGTGAATCTTGGACGAATAAGCGACCAACTTCGAGGACTAGCGTGGTTTAAATCGAAATTTCCTGCTCTTACTCCGGGACTACAGTCAGAATTGGTCGAAGTATGGAGCAATTATTTGACTCAAGATGTGTTAGTATCGGGTTTTCATTCAAAGGACCTTCAGCTTGTTACTTATTACCCTCAAATTTTCTCGAGGCAGTTTGGTTTGAGTCAAGCCTTACCTTTTTTCTCCCTCGATACCTCCCCAAGGTCCAAGTTAAGTGAATCGACAATCGGACGGGAGCTCACCAAACTGCTACCAAAAACCCGATGCATTTTTATCCTTATATTTTTTAATCCA